TGGAAATACCAAAAATTGGCATTTTAGGTTTTAAATTGTGTCGGATAAAAAATAATTTTTTCTGGATATAATTTAATGACCTTTTTTGTTACTATTGTCCGCGAAATTAATATCATTCGGGAAAAAAACACCATCTCAATCATCCAGGACCATTTTTCCAGATGTACCAATCATAAATTTATTGCGAATCCCCTAAAATAGAAATTTGAGGTCTTAAACTTTATCGGAACAATAAATTATCTTTCCTGGACGAAGGTTTTATTGAATAGACAGTAATATTATCATGAAAATCAACCTCATACAGAAAAACACAGTCTTATTCATTGAAAACCATTTTTCCAGATTTACCAATCCTGACTGCATTGAAAATACCAGAAATTGACATTTTGAAACCTAAAATTTTAGGGACCGGAAACTTTTATTCCTGGATAACATTTTATGAGACTAATTTATTTTAATTCAGAAAAACAAAACCCGAATCATCCCGGACCAATTTCTCCAGATGTACCAATCGTGAATTCAATTAAAATGCTAAAAATCAAAAATTCGAAACAGAAAACTTGATAGACCGGAAGTTATTATTCCTGGACCAAATTTGACGATTTTTTTTTGCTAATATTATTGAACAAATCATTTTGATCAAGACCAACACAATTTTGTTTTCCCAGGACCATTTTTCCAGATGAACCAACCCTAAATTTATTGAAAATATCTAAAATTGACATTTTTTAAATTTGAGGTATCTATAATTGTTTCTGGACCAAAATTAATAATTTTTTGCTAATACTATCAAACCAATTGATTAAAAAAAACGAAATCCGAATCATCTCGGACCAATTTTTTCAGACGGACCTTTTCAGACGGACATTCAGAAAAACAGAGGCCAAGTCATCCAGATTCATTTTTAATAGTTTTACCAAACCTACATTTATTGAAATTATCTATAATTGGCATTTTAAACCCTAAACTGTTGAGGAATTAAAATAACTGTTCCTGAACGAAAATTAATGCAATTTTTTGATAGTGTTGTCTAATAAATCAACTTCCTATATTTTCACAGATGCACTAAACCAAAATCCAGTGGAAATACCAAAAATTGACATTTTGGATCCTAAACGGTGAGAGATCTAAAATTGGTATTCCTGGACAAATTCGATTAAGGTTTTGCAAAGCTTAAGGTACGCAATATCAACTTCACGTATTTCCAAGGTTCCTTAAAGAAATCTCAACATCTTGTCAATTGATAAATGTTCTTTATAATACCAGTCGAATATGCGAAATTCAAAATGTTCAGTTCTCTAACTGAAATTGAGATAACATACCCTAAAAGGTGTATTTTCTATTACAGAATATGCACTTCAATAGATTCAAACGAGAGATACGGATACATGTTAATTATACGGTAACCCCTCCCCACCCACTTATCTAAATCCCTCGAAATTTCTATTTATGTGTGGTGGACTGGTGGCCATCCCCCTCTTTCTGCATCGTCATTTCTTAATCATCGCTTTTGAGAAGAGAACAGATGTGTGTCATTCTCCCCTCTCCCTCTCTCTCTCTCTCTCACCCTCACCCTCTTTCTCATTTCCCCTCACTTCTCTATTCCTCTTCTCTTCTCTAATGTGACGTCAATCGAAAAGCAAATGGAAAGTGGATGATGGCAAAAGAGAACTCTTCCCAGGACATGAAGAAAAATGACGGTGTTATTTTGGGTCTGGTGTGTCGTTGACGCGGTTTTAGGTTATAGAACTTTCTAGAGAATTCTAAGGTGCTCTAAGAGATTCTTGAAGATTTTAGATAGTTCCAAAATTTCAACAAGATTCTAGATAATTATAAGAATTTCTAGAAAGTATGGATAGCTGAAACTTTGCAAGTGTGTTCAATGAATGATGGAAATTTTCAAGACCACAAAAAATCAAGAAATAAAAAAAATTGATAATGAAATAATTGGAATTCCACTAATTTAAAGATTACTATTTCAGGTTATTATGAAATACTTGAAAAGAGAAAATTGAGTCATTAGATGGGCATCGATTTATTTATATTTGGAACAATTTTTTTTTGAAAATCCAAAGTTGAAAAAAAATAAGATTAAAAAATGTGGAGAACAAAATTTTTAGAAAATTCTCTGTTTTGAAAACCATGGATTTTGAAATTGAAACTTCAAAAGTATAAATTCATTTTCTGCACAATTTTCAAGTTCGTTCAAATTTAAATTTTGCTGCTTCATAAAATTCATAAGTTCGAATAGTGTTCAAAGTTTTTGATCTGAATAAATCTGTGATATACATTTTTATAGAATTTCTGGTTTTGTACAATGAATCAGACATTCTAATTTTTTTACGAAATTGTTTTATCAGCTTCTTATAAAATTCAAATCAATACTGCATTTTCTAATTTGATTTTACAACATTCCGAATACTAATGGATCGAAGAATCAACCATTTCAAATTTCAATAATTAAAAGACAACTATTTGAAACTGAAAATAACACTGACAAAAGTGAGAAATTAGCACTGAAATCACTTAAACCGCCCATAACTCGACTTCTAGAAATTTGTGCAGAAAACCAAATACACCACGAGAAAGCGTATTCGAAACTATAAATGAGCAAATTTAGAAAAAATTATTTTAATTTTTAAGTTAAACACTTTTTTACACCAGCCATGAAAAACGATTATTTCAGTGAATGAGAAAAATTAATGATGAGATAGTTAAGTTCTACTCATTCCAATTTTAAAATTAAAAATAACTATTTCATGTTATTATGAACTTTTTGAAAGCGAAAATTGAGTCATTCGATAAGACGAATTTTGCGAATTATCTTGAGGATTTATTATATTGAAACTTTAAATTACGGAATTCAAAAAAAAATCGAGTTCGAAAAGAAATTTGAAAAAAAATCCAAAACTTGACAGAAATTTCTGTTTCAGACTTATTTTTTTATTAGCGAGAAAGTGTAACTTTGCTCCTATCTCAAAACACTGAACCCATATGAAGCCAAACAACCGAATTTAAGAATTTTGTAAAACAGTTGAAGTGTTATTTTTTGAAAACTTGACTTTCCTTAATTTACTTTTCGAAATTGAACGAAATGCAAATATAAGCGGTAAATAAATATTTAAAGGTGGTGTCACCAAAGGAAAATGGACTCTTAGAAAAAATGCTACACGATCGATCGGAAGAATGCATTTCGTGTCTCCGAGAGATCAGGAAAGATTCGCATTGAGAGTCATGTTCCTCAACGTAACTGATGCCAAATCTTATGAAGATTTGCAAACCGTTGGAGGTGTCTTTTATGAGAAATTTGTGGATGCTGCTAAAGCTGCCGGATACTTGACTGAGGACATTTTCTATGA